TTCCCTCCAGGAAGGTCTCTTGTCATCCTTTCTTATGCAAATGGTTTTGTCTTTTTTCAAGACTATAATACCATACTGTTGTTCCGGCACTGCACTGAGTATTTCACAGGCATTATCTCATTTAATCCATACAGCCATCGTATTATTCCTATTTTCAGGTGAAGTAACTAAAGCTTTGAGATGCCAAAATGACTTGCCACAAATCCCACAGTTCCTACGTTCTAGAGCTGGGACAACATCCCATTTGTACCTAAATGTAACCAGGGCTCCTCGGCCCTTGTTCTTAGGTTCTCTGCTGTGAGATATGCCCATATAAAATTTTGGAAGAAATGCAAAAATGGAAATATGCTTTTAAAAATATACATAATCTCTACATTCACAAAAAAACAGAGGTGAAACTTTATCTTTTCTTCCAGTATTTTTTTATTAAAGTTATTGGGTTGACATTGTTTAATAAGCTTATATGCATTTCAAGTGTACAATGTTATAATACATCACCTATAGATTTCATTGTATGCTCATCACTCAAAGTTTAGTGTCCTGTCACCATATATTTGAGTCCCTTTACCCTCATTAACCTCCTCCCCCTTCCCTCTGGTAACCACTATACCTTGTAGATGNTCTGTCACCATATATTTGAGTCCCTTTACCTTCATTAACCTCCTCCCCCTTCCCTCTGGTAACCACTATACCTTGTAGATGAGTATTTTTGTTCTTATTAGCTTGTTTGTTCTTTCATTTGTTGCTTCTTCTTCTATATCCCACATAAGAGTGAAATCATATGATTCTTGTCCTATTCTGTCTGACTTATTTCATTCAACATGATGCTCTCAAGATGCATCCATGTCATTGCAAATGGTAGTATTTCATCTTTTCTTTTGGCTGAGTAGTATTTCATTTGTACCGCATATTCTCTATCCAGTCATTCATTGAAGGACACTTAGGTTGTTTTCATGTCATGGCTACTGTGAGTAATGCTGCAATGAGAGAGGGGTACATGTATCTTTACAAATAAATATTTTCAAAATTTTGGGGTATATACCCACAAGAGGGATTGCTAGGTCATACAACATCTCTATTCTTAATCTTTTGAGGAAACTTCATCCTTCCAAGATTTTTTTAATGCATAATGAACAGAAATTTAAAATTTTTAACACAAGAATTTGGTGATTATTTTTAGTGAATTAACAGCCTTTAAAAATGTGTAAAATCACCTTATTTGACAAGAGAATGTACTTTAATATCTATGAGAAAGGATATATTACATGTTATTTTAAATTATGTCCTCAAAATTGAACATATAATTTATTAAGTATTATCTGACTTTTCAGTGGTACTATATCAAGCTCAAGAATATCAAATTGTTTAGTGCAAAATTTAGATGTGATTTTGTGGACATGCTAATGATGAAATGTTCTTTTTGTTTCTAAGATATTTTGTGCAAGGAAATGTACCAGAAAGTCCAAAGGAAATAAGACTAGGAAAAGATTAAAATTAATCTTTTAATCTCGTGGACTATTCTGGTTCACAAAAAGAAGATTGTAGACTTATGTCGGAAACAACAAGCACTGAAAGAGTGAAACTATGAACTTAATTACACGAGTAGAGTAGAGAGAAAATTTGTATGTGGGTGGCTTTCTAAAGCAATGGGTCAGAGGTATGATAAAGGCTGCACTTTTTACTAGGACAAAGCATTTTTATGAAGCTAGTAATATATTTATGTTTCAAAATGAATACAAGTGGTGGCTTTACTAACAAAGGTTATCTACTGGTAGAGAAAGCAAGTTCATTTTAAATAGCTATGACCTTCTAACCAAATGCTATTTGAAGTGACTGGGAGGAAGGGAAGTTGAGTGAGCGCTTCAGTTTGGTTTGGTCTCTCCTTTCGATTTTAAGAATTTGAATATAAATTCCTTCCTTCACACTCCCAATTTGTTTTTTAGTTTAAAACAATCAATTCTGAATAACTTTATATCAGCACAGGCTCCAGAAAAAGACGAACCCAGTTAGGAATGATGTTCATGCCCTCACCAACACTGTACCTTGTCAGTAAAATTTAATTGTCTGCAAAGTGAGAATCAATGCTTTCTAATTGGTCTTATTTAAATGCAAGCAAATAAAGTGACCAGAATGGTATGGCATATAGTAGGCCTTCTAAAAATTTCAATTTCTATTCTTTTTACCTTTTAACAAATCCTTGAACACAGCACTTTTGACTCACCTAACAATAGCTCTCACTCTCAGATGGGTCTTGTGTTACAGTGTACACATACATCCATATCTGTTGTCTCTCTGGTTACTCCTCCCACTAATTCTGGGCATGCCTACTCTCTTTCCATGGGAAACTTAAGTTCAAAAGAGATGAAGTAATTTGACCATGGTCACACAGCTGATACACAGCTGGGACTCAAATCCATGCCTCTGACTGCTAGTCCAATGCTCTTCTCAGTGCACTAAAGCTGCCTACTTCATCCACATGCTCACGAAAAAACACCTGATCTAGGCTGTGATTTCCTTACCCCAGCAATTGACAATTAAGGTTTACACTGTATACAAAAGGAAAGAATTTACTTGTTTGAATAGATACAGCATGTAGATTTAAAAAAAAATATCAGCCACTCTCTTCTACAGCAAGCAGTGTTTTAAGATATGATTAGTATTCTGAGCACAGGGTGATGGTAAACATAATGTTTTTGCATTATCATGAGATGACAAAATTACCCACTTTCAAAGGACCAGCTGCTGCAGGGAGGCTGGTGCCTGTGATGCCTACATTTTCAAAACTATTTTAATTGGTAGTTTTCCGTGAATTATTTTTTAGTCAGTCAGAGAGGAAATGTATGTGTAAACCTATTAAAGCCATAGCATCTGTTAGAATGATATTATATCGCTAAATCTTAGTAAGTGAAATGTTCCATTTCAAGATTTTGAGGCTAATTAGGGTTCTCATTGAGATAAGAGTTTCCATAACTCGGCTCCTCAAATAGGTATAGAAAAGTTATAGACAAAAATGATAAGAAAATTCTTCCCATACTTTTTATGTAATAGTTCTACTATCACGTTATAATTTTGAATTGATGCACACAATATATGTGAAACTGTTCCTCACATTAGGTATACAGCAGGTCCTCAAATAATGTCATTTCATTCAATGTCATTTCATTATAACATTGATGAGATGCCACTGGAACTTAACTTTTGTTTATATCAATTAGCTTATGGTAAAATTGGTTCTGTTATATATCGTTTCACCTAAAGTTGCAGAACCTATTGATGACATTGAGGACTTAACTGTATGTGATCCTAAGAGGAAAGAGCCCAAATTTTGAAATAGGGAAATGTAAGATCATATCCAATCTCTACCCAAATTCCTGACAGATTTATACAAAGAATTTAACCAGTTGGAACAACTCTCACTTCTATCATGTGGATAATAAATTTTATTCCACAAGATTATGGAAAGGATCTAATACTTAAGAAAGTTATAAATCAATAAATTCTCACTGCTTCCAGTAACAATAATTTATTAGGTGTTTATGATATACCAGGGTCTGTGCTAAGAATTTATATGTACATTATCTCATTTAATTTTCCCCCAAAGTCTTTATAATAGATATTATTATTACATCTGTTTTACAGATGAGAATATGGAGGCTTAGAAAGATTAAGAAAATTACCAGTATTTATAAACTTAGGAAATAGAAGGCTCAGTAATTGAACTTAGACTTATTCTTTTATTCATTTAACAAATATTTGCTAAGGAATAAATATACTGAACAAATTTGGGCACTGTTCAGAAGAAGGAACTGGGGAATGGAAGGTGAGTAAACAAATGACCCTGTTCATCTCACCTGGCTACTGTGTGGAGAATGGATTGAAAGGTGACAAGAGAGGATCCAGGGAGAGTAAGTAGGAGGCTGTTAAGTAATCCAGGTGACAGATGACTTTGACTTCAGCCAGGGTGCTAGCAGTGAAGATGAAGAGCCCTGGATGGACTGCAGGTACACTTTGCAGGTGGAGCTGAATGTGTGGTGGTTGTGGGAGAGGGGAGTCAAGCAAGTGCCACCCCTTCTTTTTTACTCTGAGCAACAGAGATGGGCAACACTAGAACAGATACTCAGAGTGAGGAAAAAGTCTTTTTAGCCTCAAGCTACATACTCTTAATCATTACTAATATCATCACTAATTCTTATCATGGATATAAAAGACATTTGAAGTCCATGGCCATATAACTACAAACTATCTAGAAAGCTTATTATTCTAATTCATATTATTCTTTTCCCTGAGAAAATGACAAAAAGGAAAGTTTACTGTAGACTTTATCATAATTCTTAGCTTTCAAAGTAAGTATCTAGGAAAGAATTATATGAGATTCTTTTTTAATTTTGTGAAATCTGAACTTCAACACCTATAGCATTGTGAGATGAATTTGAGAAAACAACAAACAAACAAACAAACCACTGGAAGGTAATTTGCCAGAAAACCAACAGGGTTCTTTTAGATGATGGAGTCATATATATTTTTTCTTCTTTCTACATTGTTTTATTTTTCAGATTTTCTAAAGTGATTACATATTCTTTTTATAACTAGTGAATTAAAAAGTCAAGAAAAAATAATCTATAAAGTCACATTTGTTATGTCTATATAGGAGTAAGTCTATAACCCTCAGTCCAACCAATTAAAACCAATCAAAATTATGATGTAACTGGCAGAGACCTTAAAATAAGTGGCCTTCTAACTACACCAGGCTGGATGCAGTCCCAGTCAGAGTGGACTGGAGTTCACAGTGTGGGGAAGACTGGGAAAGCTGAGGAGTTCAACGTGTGTGTGTGTGTGTGTGTGTGTTTAATTTCCTTTATTTGAAATATCCTTTCCAAATGAAAGCAGTTTAAAATTGCTTATATTCTTTGCTCCCCACTTCACAAGGTTAGAGGTCTTAATAATATTCTTTCCGAAAACTCCTAGACACTTCTGACCTCTGCCGTTTTCCTTGCTTTCAGGGTCAATGATTGTATCTTGCGGGTGAACGAGGTGGATGTGTCAGAGGTGTCCCACAGCAAGGCGGTGGAAGCCCTCAAAGAGGCGGGGTCTATCGTCCGGCTGTACGTGCGCAGAAGACGACCCATTTTGGAGACTGTTGTGGAAATCAAATTATTCAAAGGACCTAAAGGTAATAAAACCGTAAATGGTTCGCAGTAGGACACCGGTGACAAACCATTTTGCTAAAGTTTATGCTGTAACCCATCTACAATGCCCTCTCTTCTTTTATGCTCCAATATTCAGTATATAACAAGAGAGCTGAAATCCCATAATAGTGGTTTTTATAGGTGGTAAAGAAACCAAAACTATAAATGTGGACTCAGAGAAGGAGAGACTAGATTTATGTAGGCATGCCCTTATAAACAATAATAACAACAACCATTTATATTTTTTCTATAAATTTTACATCTTACCAGAGCATCATGACTTCGCTGGCATATTAATACTTTCTATTTTTTTCTGTATAAATGGTTACCCCTCTCATTTGGAAAAATAATGATGATGATAATAATAATTGAAATAATCTATCCTGAAATAACATCATATTTTTACAACACTGTTGTGATTTGTTTTGATTTTGTAATAGTCGTATCTATTATACTCACAAATACTGAATAACATTTTATACTTGCAATAGTCATAATTTAAGATTTATTTTTCTGAAATGTTCACGATAATTACCTCTCTTGAGGTAACTGCAGTTACCCTGGGAAAATCATATGAACAGGGAGATAAATAATTATTTTCATTTTTAGGAACAGTCCTTTGAGCTCTACTTTTCAGAATGACAGCATTTAATATTAGCTTAACAGTATTTCCCATATTTTAGAAAAATTTGATAACTGCCTTAAGTATATTAAATATTTTAGAAGATTATGAGTTGATGGTTACTATAATCTTTTAGTAAATCACTTCTCTTTCCCTTAAAATCTATTTTATCACTAATGCTATATACAATTTAAAATAATAGCTATACCACCTTCTCTGGAAGGTAGAAGTGGGTGATATTTAAAATCTCAAAGGAGCCAGACAGGACTGCATTTAAAAGCCTCGTCCTGCCACTTGCTAGCAGAGTGACATTGGTTGGACCAATCCCTTCATTATTAAATGGATGTCCTTATTGGTAGCATCTACCCCATGGGGTTTATGAGAATTAAGCACTTAACTAATATCTAGCAAGTGGTGAGCCGCAGAACTTGCTGGTTAAAAGAGGAGACTCAAGAGCCAAAATGCTAGGTGTGAACCCGAGGCCTTGTTAAACTAAAAATAAAAAGCCAAAGTGAGAGGAAGCAAGTGTTCATTTTAGATCAAAAAGTATTGTACTTCTAGGAAGCACTGATTCAGACAGAAACCCAAATAGTGTTACAATTATGAGGTGAAGGCAAGGGGTATTTATGAGAAAGGAAAGGGAGATAATTGCATGAATAGAAGGGAGGCATTTCTATTGGTGCTAATTAGCTAAGGATGGAATTTCTACAGGTACAAATAAGCTAGTTTATTTTCTATCTACACATGGTACTGCTAATTCTAAAGAATGTCCTTAATTTGCAGTCCTCATAGTGAAAATGTCTGCTCTATTAGTTTTACACATAGTTGTTTGGAATACCATGTTGGGCTAACCCAATCCGCAGGTTATTTTTTCCAGTTCAAACATTTCCAAAGATTTGAGGAGCTAAGACCAGCAAGGCAGATCCTCCGGGATGGTGGCTTTGACTCCATTTTGAAATGTCTCCATTTATGTCATTTTTCCCATTCTGCAGTTTACTAGTTCTTTAACCTTGGGCAAATTGCTTAAAATCTCCGAGCTTTAATTTCCTCTCCTACAAAACATAAATAATAATAGTGCTTGCCCCTAGGGATGTTGTGAGGATTAGATGGGTCAGTTCACATAGTGGTACAAATTGATTTCTCAAAAATATATACGTTATTTTTATATATATATATGTTATTTGTAGTATTCTTTGCTACATATGGTTTTGGCCTTCATAACAATTGTTTGGCAATGTAATGAAAATACTCCAAGATTACTCATGGGCTGAATTCAAATGCATTAAAATCACAGAATTAAATCTGGAGGGGAAGACAGGAACTAAAGCGTTTCCTTACCACAGTGTCTGCTGGTATGAAAGAAAGGACTTTCTACCCTACATGTTTACTAAACCTATACTTGGCGAGGTGTTTTAAAGCAGAACAAAATGAGCCTCACACTATTTCTATTAAAAGGATATGCTCTATATAAATAATGGGTAGATATTTCTACAGTTCAGTTACCAGCAGTTATTCAGCACAGCCTTAAGGCAAATCCTCGTTCTAGTCCCCAGCGAAGCACTGCGGTTCATTAGCAGGCCTCCGGCTAGCGGGGCCACTTGATGGCTGCCAGCGGCTCAGCAGAGCACTTAAAGGCTCTAGAGAACCTATAGACAGAGCTCTTTAATTTTATCAGGAATACTTTTTTATTTTATTTTAACCTTTATCTTTGATACCAGGGCCCCCTCTGGCTGGTGTACTTGGCTCTGAACTGTTTACTCCTTTGATCCTGAGGGGAGCAGGAATTGCCCAGGGACATGGAAGTGATGACAGTTGAACTGTAATCAACCAGGCAATAACCCAGTGACAGGACCCAGTGTAGGGCTCCGGGGTTGTACCTGGACTTGGTTTACTGAGACAAGAGAACAAGGAACTGTAAGAACTAAATTTATATTCCTGAAAGCAGATTCCTTCCAAATCCTCGTAGAGGGGTGTGGGCCTGTTGGGCCTGTTGGGATTATGGTGGGCCAGTTATGCTTTTCTCTATTGTCACCATACAAATGTCACTGATGGGGATTTGTTTCTCTGTGTAAAGCATATTGACGTACTGGGGAAAGAACTGTTTTAGTCCGTGTTTAAGTTCCTAATGCCTGTTACGGTGCCTTAAATTCAAGAAGTGCTGAATGAGAGTAAATGGAATAACTACATTGTATTCTATACTAAATCTAATGATCCCTACAATCTTGTCTTCACTTAGAACCTGTAATTCTTTATTTTTGAATGATGATATTTTTAAAGGAATTTTTACAAAGGGTGGGAAGGATGGGGGACATATGCAATCCTGCCAACAATAAAAAAAATAAATTTTTTTAAAAAGAAATTTTTACCAATGTTTAACTCATGTCATGGAGACTCCTGCACTGTGAAGGATAAATATGTATCAAATGTGATCCTGGTGGGAGAATTAGGAAGTTCCAGTGGGAAAGCGAGACATAGAGTCAACTCACTTTCCTGCAAAGCAGTATGAAATCAGCTCTGTGATGAGGCCTGCACTGTTATTCCCTGGTATCTTTTTTTTTTTTAAATAAATATATCTTTATTGATTTCAGAGAGAAGAAGGGAGAGGGAGAGAGAGAGAGAAACATCAATGATGGGTGTGTCATTGATCGGGGGCTTCCTGCACGCCCCCGACTGGGGATCTAGCCCACAACCCGGGCATGTGCCCTGACCGGGAATCAAATCGTGATCTCCTGGATCCTAGGCTGATGCTCAACCGCTGAGCCACATCCAGCTTCCCTGGTATCTTCTGAGCTGCTGCCCCAAGGCTGGATCTCAGAGCAATTGAGTCTAAGTCCTATGCACAGCCCTTTAAGAGGAACTGCCTGGGACTCCAGAAGCCCTCAGTCTCACGCAGCTTTAATCCCACTAGCTTCTACAGCCAGAAGTTTTGGGACTTCTCTTTCTGGCACTGAAACCCTGGGCTGGGGGTTCTGGTGTGCGGCTGGGACCCCTTGGTCCTCAGGGGGCACTTCTGCAGTGGTGATATCTCTCCCAATTTTTAACTACCACATGTGGGTGTGGGACCAGCCCATTCCACTCTCTGCCCCTCCTACCAATACCCATCTCCTTATATCCTTAGTTATAAAACTTCTGATCAGCTAGATTTTAGCCCGTTCTCAATGATGGTTGTTCGTAGTTTAGTTGTAATTTTGATGTGGTTGTGGGAGGATGTGAGTACCTGCATTTACCTAAGCCACCATCTTGCCCGGAAGCGCTATTAAATTTATTTTATAGACATTTTTAATGCCCGGACTATTTTTATTTTGTGATTATTCTTGGTTTTGTTTGTTTTTACATGGGTTATAAGGTAAACAGTGATATTTCTTCCTGTTGTATAGATAAAATATTAAGGGATTCTTTAAAAGAATAATTTTTGGCAGAATCAAATTTACAGTTTTTCAATTCTATTCCTTGTGTTTATTTTATATTTGTACAAATTACTATTTCTGAGATGACCTTTGGTGTATGCAATTCTGTCTTTATACAGGGCTAATCTTCCCAATATTCAACTGGAATCATTTGGCTGGTCATTTATGGCCATGTAATACAGTAATGAAAATTTGAGTAATATGCAATACTCATTTAGAATGTCTTTTTTAACAATATGTAAAAATTTTCCTAACCTCACAGTTATAGATTTGGTCATTGCAAGCAGCTGGGGTGGCTATGTGTGGGCAGTCGGTTGAGAGAAAAAATGGATAATTATATACAGGAAGCAGTGATTAGGCAAATCCGTTTAGACTTGCCAAGCAACCAGAAATAGGCAAGGAAGAAAATCAGAAGTACACATGTGGTTTCCCAGGAAACAGGTTTACAATAAAAGTCTTTCTAGTGACTTTCCCAAGAACACTCAAAGTCATAACTTCTAAGGAGCTATATAGCTAAACACGTGCAGACTATTGTTTCTGTGGCTTAAGCCAAGCCTATATAAGAAAGGAAATGCCTTCTTTAAAGATGCCCTTGTTGCTTAGGGATAATATAGTTGAAGTCTAAATTCTGAAACCAAAAGTGTGATGGCCATGGCTTTACTAATATTCAAAAGTAGACTTGCTTGAGGCTCTATTTCAGCTGCCCCATTCTTTAATAAAATCTGAAAGAGTGTTAAAGTCTATCTAGCAGCATATTTCAGCCATTCTCCATTATTTCTAAAATGTTTTTAAACATCATCTGTTTAGAGAGATAGAGGTTTGCATCAGTGCACACTGAAAATGCAGTGAATATTGTTGTGCTCTGCTTTGTACAAGAAGGAAAAATAACTAAAATACACTAACTGTAAAAGTCACTATGCTAATGGTCATTATAATGTATATAATTCAACCGTTA